GCGCCTCGCCCCCCTCGGCGGCGGGGAGGGGCCCGGCTCGCTCTTTTTCCGGGTAAGTGGCTGGTTGGCGAGCGCTCTGCCACCCTAGCCCCTTGGTCCACAGTTTAGCTCGGAGGGGGGCACGGTGTCTGCTTTCCCAAGGTCAGGGTTAAGTCTGGGCATTCGGGCGGCGCAGGACTGTCACTTGCTGCTTTTCCAAGTCAGTGCCTGGCACGTCGCCCCCCTACTTTCCCTCCCCCGTTTATACGGCGTTCTCCAGTCTCCCATTGCTCAGTCGCCTCTGCCACACTGGCCCTGCTTTGTGTAGCGAGTTTGCTTTGAGGACCTTCTGCCATGCGGGGTGACCAGGCAGGCCTGGTCAAGGCTGTCCCTGGTCAAGGGGGACAAGAGGAGGACTGGGCCTCTGGGACATCTCCCAACTCTGCCCCATCATCCACGTCTGTATTTTATTTATTATTTATTTATTTATTTATTTATTTATTTATTTTCAGAATCTTCCATCCTGGCGTCCCAGAAAGGCCAAAGATTACTCAGCAGATGCAAACCTCCAGGTGTGGATTCCTTTGATCTTAGTGTCATAACTTTTCTAAACCGAATTAGGATTGCTTATTATTCTCAGAACTGTCATTAAGCTTCTGGCCCCGTTATAAATACTCCCTGGGCAAATGTGAGGTGGGATTCTAAGTGTACTCAGGTGCAATGGTGAATGGGCACTTACTTCCCTCCAGGCCTTCCCTTTAGACCAGCGGACCTCCAGAATGAGGCCCAGAAACCAGGATTTAAAAAAGATTCCCAGGTGATTCTAATGTGCAGCCAAGGTTGAGAACCACTGCTCTAGACCAAGCCTGGAGGACATGAGCCAGTCTGATTTCTTCAGGACCCGATGCACTTAGAGTGGGAGGACCCAGTGGAAACACAATGAGTGTTCTGTTTAAGGGCTGACCAAATCCTAGGAATCTGGCTGTTCGTTTTGAACCAAAGCAAAGCAAAAAAGATCATTAAATGAAACCTTAGCTGCTTTAGCAAGTAAACTAAGGCAATGACCCATCACAGGCCAGCTTAACTTGTTCCTAAAAGCACTTCCCTTTCACAGTATTCTTTTAACTCTGAACTGCCCTCCCGCCATGAATATAATTTAAGGGAGCAGAATGCCAAGTTAGACTATCCAATTACATAAAAAGAAATTAACTTAGTAATGCCCGATATTTTCAACAGAAGTTGGGTAGAAGGGAAATCCGGGTATTGGAAGTAAAGTCCCCTTGTGAGGCCTACTACAGCATATCGCAGATGCGGCGTAGCACTGAGTGTGACAAAGCTGACAATCCCAACTGGGTCCGCTCCCCACTCTCGCCCTTCCAGAGGGCACACGAAATGGGAACTGGCCTTGGCAGCTTTGGCCGCAGTCAGATGACTCGCTCTTCTTGGCGGCTCTTACTGTGCTTCTCCAGAGGAAAAGACTCTACATCTCATGGAAAAATCAGGCTCTTCACTCTATGCCCAAAACATGCTGTACTCTTCCTTGATGACTTTATGAGTTCTTTTTGTACTTTTTTAAGTAAAATGTGAGTATCGTCACCTGGAACAAATTGCAGGAAAGATCTTCTGGACAGATTTCCCCTCCTGGTTCCACAAAGCCATTTCCCTTTTAATCTGTGTACAAACCTACTTTTTAAAATGATCTGAATGTTTCTGAACTAGCAAGAACAGTTCCTCCTTGCTTTAAAGGGTAATTTGTGGCAAGTATAGCATATTCTGGAAGCTTTTCTTTATGTAATCATGTAGAGCTTAACTTCCACATTTTTTAAAAGTGGGATAATTGAGTTGAATTCAAAGCTTTTAAGCAAAAGGTCTGATTCCAGACAGACAAGGAGGAAGGTTTACTTTGTATTATTTTATACATAACATGTATTATGGCATATCTGATATATTTATATATACATAAGTATATATATATGTAAGTGTATATACTATATATACCTCTTTCTATCAAATGAATACAGGCAATGTGCCAGAGTTAGTACAATTGTAAATTGTCATTCTCTACTTAAGGGCTTTTTATTTAAATTCTCCTAAAATATGATGAATTAGCATCATCTCTCATTATTGAAAAATAGGACATAAAAACAAAAAAGGACATCCTGCCTTCACATTAGGTGGAGTGTTCCTCATGCTGATATTGAGGATATATGAAGGCTTATTTCTCAAATGTGGATTGACTGGTTTAACTAGTAATAGGAGTTTTTAACTGGGTCATAAAAAGAAGTATGAATGCTCCCTTTCATACAATGGTCCTTTATATATAGAAAAGAAATTTCTGCCCTAACCGGTTTGGCTCAGTGGATAGAGCGTCAGCCTGCGGACTAAAGGGTCCCAGGTTCAGTTCCGGTCAAGGGCATGTACCTTGGTTGCTGGCACATCCCCAGTAGGGAGTGTGCAGGAGGCATTTGATCGATGTTTCTCTCTCTCTCGTCGATGTTTCTAACTCTCTATCCCTCTCCCTTCCTCTCTGTAAAAACTCAATAAAATATATTTTTTTTAAAAAAGAAAAGAAATTTCTTTGGACAAATATTTCTTCTCTAGTGGATTTGAAAGACATAAGTTTGAAAGTTCACATGTATCTAAATTTAAGCATTGTTTAATAATGCAAATTATCCCCTAATATACCTATTTTATAAGCTTGTTATTTTCATAGATTCTTTGAAGCATTGCCTTGTATGAAAAAATATGTTCTTAATAGTTGTTCGGTGGATTTAAAAAGTGAATTGTTTGTGTATTTTTCTTAGGGGGAAAAAAAAGTAAAATAAGTTCTTGGGATTGTTGGAGAAGGCTCAACTGGAATGAAAATGTACATTGTGTTAAGGTTCCAACCCAGGCTCCACAAACCATCTAACCTTAGGGCCTTCAGAAATACTTTAGAGTTCCACAAATATTATGTTTTGAAAGTATGTATAAACTATTCTATTAACTCTAACAAAGCAGTAGCATCTACACTCAATTGTAGTGTAGCTTTGATTTTAACGTATTAAAGATTACCAGATGATGCAGTTGGGAGGCAGACCTCAGAGTAATATATGACAAAGTTGGTCTTTTTAAGCAGCAGAAAAAGATGAACAACTCCCTACATTTGGGTTAGGACAATTCACTGTAAATTTTAAAAAATAATAGATCTTTATTTATCAGGATAAATATATAAGAAAATCCAGGTTGATTGAGTTACTAAATATATTTTAGAAGGTTATTATGCCACCATTGAAAAATTAAAAAAATGTAAGTATGTGTGGAAATGTTTAGGATAATTGTAAAAGGCAGAATTTAAATTGTGCTATGTAATGATCACAGCTGTGTGTTACATATTTTTACATTAGGCCCCAAACTGAAAAAGACCATGCAAACAATGAGAGAAAAAAATATGACTAGGGCAGGAATTTGGGTATTTTCCTGCATTGTTTAAAATATTGTACAACTTTTAATTAACTTTTAAAAGCAGTATCACATAGTTTTAGTGTGAGTTCAAAATATGCATTTTGGGATCTCAGAGGTATTTCCACTTACATATTCATTGTCATATTATTCACAATAGCCAAGATGTCAAAGTAACCTGAATGTCCATCATGGATGAATGGATAAAGAAAATGTGATGTAAGCAATCATACCTTGCAAAAGAAGGAAATCCTGTCACGGGTTGCAATATGAATGAACTTGAGGTTATTATGCTAAGTGAAATAAATCAGCCACAGAAGGACAGAAACTGGATGATTCCACTTATCTGAGGTATCTAAAATAGTCAAACAGCAATTAAATCTGAAACTCTTTTAATTAGTCAATCCTATATAATAAAACCCTACTATGCAAATTGACCAAACCAGGAAACAACTGTTCACTATGACACGCATTGACCACCAGGGGGCAGATGCTCAACACAGGAGCTGCCCCCTGGTGGTCAGTGCACTCCCACAAGGTGAGCGCCGCTCAACCAGAAGCCAGGCTCACAGTTGGTGAGTGTAGCGGCAGTGGTGGGAGCCTCTCCCGCATCCACAGCAGCACTAAGGACCCCTCAGGGGATGTCCGACTGCCGGCTTAGGCCCGTTCCAGCGGGGGGGAGCAGGCCTAAGCTGGCAGTCGGACATCCCCCGAGGGGTCCCAGACTGTGAGAGGGTGCAGGCCAGGCTGAGGCTGCCCCATCCCCCTGTCCACGAATGTTGTGCACTGAGCCTCTAGTATATAATAAAGACCTAAACAGTGGGTACCAGTTAAAACTGAGTTCAGAGACCAGTAAAACTGCTGTGGGCCAGTGGGTGTGGCTAATATGTTTACAATTGCTTGACTGGACTTATGGAATGAGATAACTCATGGTTTGAAATCTTGGGAGCCCCTGTCTGGGTTAAATTTCAAGAGACCTCAGGAATCACTGCTGTAGCACTGACCACCAGGGGGTAGACACTCAACGCAGGAGCTGCCCTCTGGTGGTCAGTGCAATCCCACAAGGGGAGTTCCGCTCAGCCAGAAGCTGGTCTCATGGCTAGTGAGTGCAGTGGTGGTGGCGGGAGCCTCTCCCGCCTCCACGGCAGTGCTAAGGACCTCTCAGAGGATGTCCACCTGTCGGCTTAGGGGTCCCAGACTGTGAGAGGGTGCAGGCCAGGCTGAGGCCGCCCCCATCCCCCTGTCCACGAATGTTGTGCACTGAGCCTCTAGTATATAATAAAAAAAAATTTGGGGGGTACATTTTTTTAAGTCAAACTTATAGAAACAGAGTAGCATGGGTGTTTCCCGAGGGTTTAGGGGAGGGGGAAATGAGGAGTTGGCATTCAATAGGTATAAACTTTCAGTTATGCATATGATGAGTAAATTCCAGAGATCTGCTGTACAACACTGTACCTAGAGTTAACAGTGATGTATTGAGCACTTAAAAATGTGGTAGAGCATAGATCTCATGTTAAGTGTTCTTACCACAAAATAGACATACATATATTTCATATAGAAAATATGTTTTTCTATACAGTATATTATTTTTATATTTTGTAAAAGTAGAAAGCATCCCCCCTGGTTCCCAATCTCAATCTGGTAATCCAGGAAGTCTTTTGGAAGAGCAGGTACTGTGTTTCACACCACATACTAATATTTTCCTCGGCTGCTCAGAATGATATAGCAATGTGGACTTCTCTATAGATGAATGAGGGTCGCTGACCACCTTCCGTGAAAATAAAACTCTTCAGTTGGCAAATAAAAGAATCAAGATAATATCTTATCTCCTCTCCTATGTAAATCATTAATGGACATCAGCCAGCAGAGCGGTGACTCGAAACACTGCGCTGTCCAGCCTCCTGTACACCTGTGGGTTTCGGCTCAGGCGTGCCCTGCAGCTGCACTCAGATACCTACGCAAACACTAGCGACCGAGAACTGACTAATCTAGTGCCTAATTCTAGAACATGGCCATTCTAAAGCCCTGAAGTGCTACTCGCTGGAATGCAGTCAGGAGAGTACTGAGAGGAAAGGGGTTGCAGAGTGGATAGCGAGCGGTTAGTACCTACCCCATGTCGGGGAAAGGCGCGCAGATTTTAACGGGCAAGCTTCAGTTCCCATTTTGGATAAGAACCTTGGAGAAAAATTGTTTTCCCAGCAATAGCTTGTGATCATTATGACTTCACTGTCTTTATTTTCTGCATGTTCTAAAGTAGTGGTCTACAGACTTGTTTGTGTGTGTGGTTCACCCGAATGAATTTTAAAGTTGAAAACCACATGTACATCAATACATACATACATATACATACATGTTATACATGTGTGTTTATTTCTTTATAAATTAAATACAGTGATTTTTATAACAGCAAACACAATACAGTGTCAGTAGGGGACTGTTCTGTAACAGTTTGCTATGTCATCAGTCTCTGGACTAATTAGTCTATGGACTACTCATTCACGCTTCCTTCCACTGCCTAAGGACTCGGGATTCAGTTGTGAGTAAGACAGACAGATATGGTTCCTGACATCATGGAGTTTACCTCTTGGTAGAGAGTAAGACTGAACAAGAATTCATCCATTCAGTATGCAGGGGATGGTCAGTGAGAAGTACAGTTTTAAGAGGGTGTGTAATAGACATAAAGGGGAGAAGGGTGTCGAGGAAGACTTTCTGTAGGAATTGTTCTTAAATTGGGACCTGAAGAATCAGCAGAGGCTAGCTAGTTGAGGGGGGACAACATAGTTAGAGAGAACAATGTATGCAAAGCCCTAGTGGGTATAAAAATAAAACCCAGAATGAGTAAAGGTGGACTGAAGACAGACTGGGTATAGGATCTTGAAACATGTGGGAAGAATTGTCCTTTTCCTAAAAGAAAAAAAAAAGCCATTGAAGATTTGAACCAAAGGGTAAATTGATCAGACTTGAACTTTATACAATATCACTCCAGTTGTGGTGTGAAGAATTTATAAAACTATCAATTTGTGGTTTTCTTCATTAACACCATTAAAGTGATGATCTATATTTATTGACACATAAAATTGTGTACTTTCCAATGCTGAGTAAAGAAAGGGTTCTAGAGAGCACACATGGTATGAGTCCATTTATGCAAATTATTAAAATGTGAATGCATATATATGCATACAGAGATCCATGAAGATGTGTTTAAATGTGTATTGAAATGTATGACTATATATGTATGGGTGTGTAAAATGCTAATGGTTATCTGTTAGTGGGAAGACAATGAGTGAAAATTGCTTTCCTCTTTGTGCATTTCAGAATTATTTTATTCTAAGCACAAATCATTTTACAAGGGCAATAAGTCTATTTTCTAAAAATGTCTACCTCCATCTAAATACCTGGAAAAAAGGTTAGGGCCTATGTCTTTCTAACCAGCCTGGTCTCCTATGTAGTACTCAGGCTCCCTTGAGAGTCATGCGTTCCAACTTTCAGGGTAAGTCAGTAAAATTACCTTGATAAGAAATGTTTGGAACCATTTGTGATAAGGCGAGTCTAATAGTCCAGGTTATTTGTATAAATAAATATTGGTTTAACAATAAAAATGAATTACCTCAGAAATCAGCTAATGACTTTACAACAGAGTGTCCTTAAGAACCTCTGGCACACCTAATTGAAACAGAGCAGCATATTGCCCGTCCACAGTGGCTCAGTTGGTTGAGCGTTGTCCTGTGCACCAAAAAGCAAAAAGCTCTCACATCAATGTCAATGTCTCTCTCCCTCTCTCCCTCTCTCCCTCTCTCCCTCTCTCCCTCTCTCCCTCTCCCTCCCTTCTTCCCTCTAAGCATGTCCTTGTGTGAGGCCAAGACTTGAGAATGGAACCACTCATGGGTGAGTCTGACTTCCTGCCCTCTTGGCTGTGTGACTGCATGGACCACCTCCAGACTTCTCGAATCAAAGAGAGAAATGAGCATTTACTGTGTTTAAACCTCATGGTGGTGGTTTTTTTCTATAACTCACAGCTTAATCCGAATTCACTGATCAGTGTTTAATTGAAAGAAACCCTTTTTAAGGTGTGTTTGCCTCTCGAAACACACCTTATGGTCACAATTTCAACATGAGAAAATGCTCTTTGTTATAAATATGTCATCAATTTGGGGGTGAACAGTCGAGATATTCCTGTGTCTGATATCTCTGTGTATGGCAAAAACCATGACATCATGTGTAGTAAAAAATGAACATATCCTGTGAAAATAGTGTCACTTCAGTGCTAGGAAACTGCTTACTAAAGGTATCCTATAAAGTGAATGTCGGATTTGCCCAATATGATTTGTGCTGAGTAGAAACTGCCAAGAACTCAAGATACAGCGTATGTATGCACATATATATCGTAGCTTACATATAATTTGGTAAGACTGAGGAAAGCAACAGAGACTGTCCACATGGTATCATTAGTGTTAAAAGTATAAAATGTGTCCAGATTAACTAGGCAAGGGTGTGTTGGCCTTTCGGATAATTGTCTCTGAGGGACTTAAAGAATCTGAAGTTCTGATCCGGACTGGATGGAAGGGACCTGGCGGGGGGCGGGGGGCGGGGACCCACCTGCTCCAAGGGCGTGGGTGACCTCGGCCTGGCCTGGGGACAGTGGTAGGCCCAGGGATAAGCACGTGATGGAATTCAGATGCGTGAGGGTCAGACTCTTCCTTTTGGTTCTGATTGTTAGGGAAGAAAAGGCTCTTCCTTTCTGACGATTTCTAAGTGTGAGCTTGGGAGCCCAGCCTGTTTGAGAATGAAGCAGCCCGGAGGCAGGGGAAAGGGAGTTCTGAGGGACCTTGTTCTAATGCAGTGGTTCTCAACCTTGGATGCACATGAGAATCACCTGGGAATCTTTTTTAAATCCTGATGTCTGGGCCCCATCCTCCGGCAATTCTGTTTCTTTGTGATGGGGTGGGGCCACAACATGAGTAACAAAGAAACAGAATTTCCAGAGGATGAGGCCCAGACATCAGGATTTTAAAAAGATCCCCAGGTGATTCTAATGTGCAGCCAAGGTTGAGAACCACTGTTCTAATGACTTTATTTTGGTCTCAGTTTGACAGTTACATCAGCTAACAAATGATTACACATATATTTTTAGCTTAAGCTATTTTAGGTCTAATGTCCTGTCTGTTGCAACAAAAGAGCCCCAGGTGATTGTGGCAGAGATGACCAATATCCATTCTTGTTTCCTCCCAGAGTAAGAAACCCACCGTAACCAGCTGCTTAGCACTGAAATGCTATTGTTACGAAAGCCCTTCGTTCTGGAAAAAGCAGGACAGCTGGTCACCCTGGGAGGCACATGGCTGCCTGGAGGAAAGCCTGTATTTTCCAGCCTGGAACGGCCGTGATTAAGCGCTGACCAGGGGAATGTAAGTGGAAATGGTCACCGCAGGTTCCAGGAAACCTCCATGAAAGGAGAGAACAGATCTCCCTCCCTTCCTTCCCATTGGCTGGAACATGAATGCGGTGGCTCCACCAGCCACTTGAGGTCAGGGGCAGGCCTGGGGAATGGAACCACTCATGGGTGAGTCTGACACCCCGACACCTTGGCGTGCTGTGTGACTGTGGAGGGACCCCCTCCAGACTCCTTGACTCAGAGAGAGAAATGAGCATTGACTGTGTTTCAGCCTCAGCGTGGTTGTTTTTTCTATTACTCACAGTTTAATCTGAATCCACTGATCAGTGTTTAATTGAAAGAAACCCTTTTTAAGGTGTGTTTGCCTCTAAAACATCACACCTCCTTTACGTTCATTTCCAAACTCAACTCTCTAGTATGGTCACATATGAGAAAGTGCTCTTTGTTATTTGGGGGTGAACAGTAGAGATAACAGAGGTAATGGGGCTCTTTACGACATGTTTGTAGTGGAGGTGTTTGCTTGCCTACTTGGCATCTGCTCCTCTACTTGTTAACAGAACCCCAGTTTTGTACAGATTTCCATATCCACTCTTCTTCAGCACACTCTGCACAGATCAGACATGGAACTTGAACTTGTCATAGTTTTTTTTTTTAAATATATTTTATTGATTTTTTACAGAGAGTGAGAGAGATAGTTAGAAACATCCAGGAGAGAGAAACATCAATCAGCTGCCTCTTGCACACCGCCTACTGGGGATGTGCCCGAAACCAAGGGTACATGCCCTTGACCGAAATCAAACCTGGGGCCCTTCAGTCCGCAGGCCGACGCTCTATCCACTGAGCCACACTGGTTAGAGCTATAGTTAGTTTTATGTGTCAACTGGTGCCGGAGCCCATTCATTGCCTTCACTATCTGATAAGCATAGACAGAACTCCCCGAAACCCCCCCGAAGCCTGGGTGCCTTTGAAGCCCTAGAGCCGATACCGAACCCTACTCCACGCGGGTCGTGGAAGGAAACACTCAACAACTGGGGTAGGCTATAGTATTCAGTCATCTAAACAAGCACTAACCGTGTGTGTGTGTGTGTGTGTGTGTGTGTGTGTGTGTGTGTGTGTGTGTGTGTAAAATCACCCCATTGGTTCCCCTTTTCTGGAGAATCCTGCGTGGTACAGATTTGATCAGCATAAGCGCAGTTTTGACCCAGGATCAGTAAT